CTCTTTAAGCTTAACTCTATCTTATTGTGAAGCCAATTCCTTCCTACTTTGGAGTGAGAAAGTCAGTCATGTTTTGGAAGGTTATACAGTTAATGGTGTGATTATCACGACGAATAGTATTGACGGCACTCCAGAAGCCATCAAATAAGCAATCAGAGCTGCTTTTTAGGTTGGAAACGAACGCAACATTTGTTGTGTAGGATTATGACCAGATTATCCTAAGTATTGACCGTGAAATGCCTAGTGGCATTACACTCTTCACCTGATGAGGTGATATTCACTTTCATTTATCGTCTAATTCCTGTTGGATTGTACACATTTAATGGTTTTTATTTAATTTTTTAATGTTGTTGAAACGACTGGTCAACCCGGTAACTTTTACGATTTGTATACGAAACCACAACGTGTTTGCAATTGAACCAGTAAATAGCGCTTCACAGCTGGACAACAATTTTTTTGAAAGGAAAAAATCTTTCTCAATGTTATTTTTATTTTTTCTTAGAAATAACATCTATAAAATATTTGTCATTTTATTTTGCTTGTTATTTTTAAAGAATATGATCATGTATGGTTGTCCCTTGAATATTATAGCATATTTGATTGTTAAAATCTCAAAGTATTTTTTTAGGTTTTAGTATTTTTAAGTTACGATGTTATATTTATCTAATTATAATTGCAGGAATGGCCATTAAATTATGTCTCTATGACGAGTCTGAGCACCTTCCTGTGCATACTGAAGATAAGGTATTTTACACTGAAAATGATTACCGTGATTTTCTGACCCGGCGGGGTTGGGTATGTCTAAGAGAATTTGACGGATATAGAAATATTGACAATTTGGATGATCTTCGGAAACCTGGTGCTAAATATCGTGGTGTGAGTTGAAACTTGAAAGTAGATGGTATGATCAAATTATCTGGAGAACTATGGTGGGTCTGTTCAGGTTTTTGATATATGTGCGACACTAACCTGAAATTGTATTAGTTTTACATTTGATAACGCTGTTTATAGTTTTTTGATAGGTAAATTAACTAGCCCTTCTGCACAAAAATCCGTTTCAATCAATGCCGTTTACATGTCTGTAAATATGCATTTGCAGTGACAACATATTATTATTATTGTCTAGATTTTTTAATGGATCATTTTCGTCAAATATTGCTATATACTTCTAGTCTGTGCAGGAACTTTGACAGTTGCTCGAGTTTCTAACGTGTTTGCCTATGCACAATCGAAGCTATTAACTTCGAACTTAAATCAGTTGATTTTTTTTTTGGAAATTATTACTTGCAGTAGTATCCAAATCTTGACTGATATTGCATTTGAAGGGACGCAAGATGTGAAATAAATGTAATTAGCACATGAAGGGATGGAAGAAAGTGTATGCTCCAGTGTTGTGAAAACTTATGCCCCCGTGATGGCGAAAATCAGTTAAGCAGGGAATGCAACGTTCGTCAACTGGCTACATGGAAAAAACCAATAAAAAGATTGGCATATGTATCTAATATAATTTTTAGATCTATACTTAATTTAGATTGTCATAATAACTAACATATACATATCAAATGAAGTATTAATATAAATGTTCAAAATATTCTAGTAAATTAACTAATAGCTAAAATGATACGTTTATTGTAACATTCCAGATTATATAAAAACATATAATATAGTAAGTCCACATTTTAATATAAGAGAACAGTGAGAAGTAGACTGTAAGTAAAATATTAAAAAAGTTACAGTCATCCCAAAATAGTTCCTAATTTAAAACTTTAAGTACTAAAGAGTAATTCAAAATACATGAAATAACTAAGAAAATCTTAAGGAGACTGGGCTGCAACATCATCTTCTTCCAAAGCCTGCTCCAGAGGCATCTTATCCACCTTTGCTCATATTCAAGTGAATGATCATTGCAAAATAAAAGCATATATCCAAACAAAACACAAACACAAAAGCAAGGGTGAACTATATATACAAAAATCATGTTATAACAGTCACAGGCAACATGCAAGTAAGGACAGATACACTACACAAACATGACTTTGCACTTTAAACTTGACTCGTCCGGACTTAGAATGATTGTCGAGCTATGGCGGGTCATGCACTCGTGGTGGCTTCTACTGCTTTTGCAAAGCCGTTGCCAATGGGTTTCCCCTACCACACTTACGAGGTTAGTCTGTCATCACTCACCTTGAGCTATACTAGAAGCACCCAAGACTAGAACCTCCTGCTACTACTCACGACATGGTTCAATCCTCTCTACTTGAGAATGTTTGACCATTGTAGTTTCAGGATAACTCCCAAGACTGAGTTTCCATGCAAATCATTCTAAACGCACTAAAAGGGCACCACCATCTATCCCTCCCTTGAGGATCATGGAATTACGTCCAATACTGATACTTTTCACTTTCAACACAACAATACATCATACCTTCACATACTTTCAATTTAACCATATTACAACAATCATAATTTACACAGAAATCATCACACACACTTAATTTACCCAAAACAATAGCTAAAGAACTTGAACCAAACACTAGGAGCTTTGGCCGAGCACTTAGAGCTTTGCCCGAACACTATGAGTTTTGGCCGAACACTTAGAGCTTTGGCCGAATGCTATGAGCTTTGGCCGAGCACTTAGAGCTTTGGCCAAACGCTATGAGCTTTGGCCGAGCACTTAGAGCTTTGGCCGAACACTTAGAGCTTTGGCCGAGCACTTAGAGCTTTGAGATCGAGTGCCAGTACAAGACCGAACACTCATTAAGAGACCGAGTGCCAGTACAAAACCGAACACTCTTTAAGAAACCGAGTGCCGGTACAAGACCGGACACTCTTTAAGAGACCGAGTGCCAATACAAGACCGAACACTCTTTAATAAACCGAGTGTCAGTACAAGACCGAACACTCTTTAAGAAATCGAGTGCTAGTACAAGACCGAACACTCTTTAAGAGACCGAACGGTCATGAATTGGTAAGACTCAAAAGAGACCAACCCAGTTATGACCGAGAGCAGCACAAGACCGAACGATCAACTGCAGCGTTCTGCATAATTCTGCAGAATTCTGCATAATTGCGAACAGAACCCAACATGACCATTTCTAACCATTTTTACTAACTTCTAACACCCTTAATTCTTGTTTTATACTTAATTAAACTTATCTAAATGATTCTAAACATTCCTACTACCATTCTAAAGTGATTAAAACTCAAATTTCAACTCTAAAACACCAATTTTCCCAACTTAGGGACCCAAAACCCAATCCTACCGCTTTGCACCTAGTTTGATCAATTTAGTGACTCAAACAAGTCACAATACAGTGGCTAAGATTGCCCCAACAATCCAATTTCGCATTAGGCCCCAATTGCCCAAAATCACTACCCCACTTCCCTTAAACATACCTAAAACCGCTACCTCCATACTTGATTTCCCATCTAACATTGCTACCACAAAATTTCCACTCCCAAGTACTTCCTACCAGTCGAATTTACAACAATTAAGTTCATCAAACTCACTACACAGACAATCAATCACAATTTCATCATTCACACTTTTCATCAATTTCATAGTTCAGCAGATACCACCTAATATTCCTAAAACCTAACATGCAATTCAAAACAGCATACCAATCAAACTTCACCACACATACAGAGTATATCATCAATTCAAAGAAACATAACTAGCTCCCCTTACCTTAGGGTTTCACAGCTAAGCTCGCAACTTGATTCGACAGTGCTTGACTCCGCAAGAACTCAACCAAACCCTGCAAACCACCCAGTGGGAGATAGAACAACTCGTTAGAGCTAATTTTTTAACAAGAAAATGAAGGAGAATGTTTCTAATTACATGCCCTAGGTTCCCAAAAGAGGAGGAAAAAGGAGAAATGACTTACCCGCTGAAGAACGAGAATCTAATCAGATGGTTGCGAAGTTTTCTGCGCCGCGGTCACTTGAGCACCACCTAATCAAACATGCAATGGTTGAATGTGAGGGAATGATAGAGAGAACACACAGAGAATGGAAAGCAACTTTCTAGGGAGAGAAATAGTTATTTTAGAAGAAGTGAGCAGAATTTGATAAAGTTACTAAGTTATACGCTTTTCAAAATAAAAGAAAAAATTCTTCTCTTCATTTTAATCTTTTTCTTTATTTTTTATATATATATATATATATTTTTTTTTTTCTAGTTCCTTACATTTACTAATACGAATTTATTAATAAAAAAATAAACAATACAATGTTATCATTTATTTCACTTTTAAT